CTCTGTCGCAATGCGAATCTCACCCGAGCAGATCAACAGCGGGGACAATGTCCTGTGGGTCTAGTCGGCGGCATCACTTACGCTCTTGACCTTTCACAGGCATTCGACACTGTCTCTCGCAGTGAGATTCTGTCCCTGCTCGATGAACTGGGCGCGGACCCCTCCCTTCAGAAGCTCATACATGGCCTTCATCATCGGTCCAAGTACAGGCTTCACTCTCAGGGGGCCTACAAGGACGTGGAAACCACCACGGGCATCAAACAAGGCTGCAAGTTGGCCCCCACGTTGTTTTCTGTGCTTACGGGCCGCCTTCTTCATAGGTTGATCGACACGTTTGGCTGGGACAATGTCCGCAAATACTTCACAGGATACGCGGACGATTTCACGATGCATCGCACCATCCGCAGCAAAGCTGACGTGGACGCAGCTCACAAGATGATCCTACAGCTTCTGTCGGAGGTGGAGAAACTGGGATTGCGCGTCAACCCGGCCAAATGTGCCATACTCGTCAAGCTTAACGGCAGGGAGGCGGAGGCCATGCTTCAGAAACACACCTGCTGGCTCCCCGACTCGGAGGGCAAGCTACAGAGGCATTGGCGCTTAGGCAGGCACAAATCTTTCCCTGCCTACAGACTTGAGACGCAAGTCAAGTACCTGGGCATCCAAATCTCCTATGGTAACTTTGAAATGCAGACGCTGCGCTTCCGCATAGCAGAGGCTGCCAAAAAGCTCCAGCAGGTTAAGCGATTCGTTTACAATCGCCGTACCGCGGGGCCCATGGCCAGGCTGAAGGTTTGGTTCACCACCGTATGGGCCACTTTGGTCACGGGTCTTCCCGAAGTCGGCCTCACGGAGGAGACGGCCAGGCATCTCAGAGGATGGTATGCGCACAAGATACGCTCAGTCCTCAATCAACCTGCTCATGTCAGCCACACGCCCACAGCAGACCTGTACCGTCTGCACTCAATCCAGGACCCGGTAGCTAAAATTCAAGCTAGGATGACTTCCAGACTTAAGCGATTGTGCAAAAGACCAAGCAACCCCGAGGCCATCCCCTCAGCCCTGCCGGCAAACATTCTAAGCGCATCCTCGGTGACGCGAGGCCCATGGGCCCAGCTGGGTCCCTCAGCAACGAGCTCAGAAGCACACCGGCAGCCGTCACGGCCAGCTACATATGGTGATGTCACGCAAATGAGTCACGTTGTACAGGACCTGCAGGACATGCTGAGAGAGGTCGAAAACCTTCCGGCATCTACTGAAGCCTCGCAGCAGAGACTTCACTCCTGCCCTCACTGCGGGTCTGGCTTTGTCTCTGCACACGGCTTAGACATGCACGTTACGCGAATGCATCGAGAACACGTGTCGAGGTACATTCCCCCCTCCTTTGATCGCAGTCGGCATTCTAAGGATGGTCTACCTGTCTGTTCTGCATGCGACAAGGCCTTCCATCAATGGAAAGGCCTACGCGACCATCTCTTGTCGGGGGCCTGCACGCAGCCGGATCGCCTGCGCCAGATCTCCCTCACCACGGAGGAACAGCTGCAAGGTCAGGCCCTCCAGGGCTTGGCGGCCTTCCGAGCTAAGGTGCAGAGCTCGCCAAGCAACCGACTCAGTGCCCTTGCCACCCAGCCCGAAGCTCAGGAGCTCAAACATCGGTGCATCTTGTGCGGTTTTTGGACCCCGGACCACACCAAGATGAAAAATCATCACAGACAGGCCCATGCACTGGCCTGGCAACGTGACGGTCCGGCAGCAATTCAGCTTTGCAGGGCATATTCAGTGCAGATGATCAAGGGGCACTCGTGTCCCTTCTGTAAGCTGCAGGTATATGACAAACGCAAGCACCCGGAGCAGTGCATTGTCCTGTTTCAGGTCCTGCTTGGGTGGCACAAGGTACAAGGCACCGACAAGATGCGGGAACAATGTTCCAAACCTCATCCAAAGACCGCGGTGACAATGTCACTTAGCGGTTTTTTCGCGGCTGCAGACAAGCCAGCTGCCGTGGCTTCATCGCCACCTGTCGCCATGGCAGCGACAGGTGCCGCCGGCAGCACTCTCCCGCCGGGCCTGTACTCTCGTGTGCGGCACATGTTGAACTCGGGTAACACATGCTACGTCAACGCGACCATTCAAGCCCTCTTAGCGGCGCTTGACTCTGTGTCCAATGTAGCGGAGCTGGAACCACTGGTTCAACACTGCACAAGCACGGAAGCGGATCCAATGGATGCGAGGCCCATCAATCCTCCAAGCCTCTTCGCTCTCCGGTCCCTAGTGCCAAGATGGCGATTCGATGGCCGTCAACAAGACGCCTCCGAATTTGCAACGTATCTGGTAGAGCACAACACGGGAACTCTGCAACCAGCTCGCTGGGAGGGACGCACCAATGGAGTGCCGGAAAGTGAGGACGATGGTCTCACGCCGCTCCTGCTGCCGCTTTCCTCCGCCTGTCGCACACTGCAGCAGGCCTGTACGGCTTGGTACAACCACATGTTCCAGCGCGCCCTGTCATGGGCCCCAGACATCTTACCAGTCACTGTTGCTCGATGGATGGATGGCACAAAACGACGAACCCCGTTAGATCTGCGCAGGCACATCTCTCTGCCGTCTTGGACTGAGGGACAGGTCCGGCAATGGCACCAGTACGCAGTCATTTCGGGAGTCTTTCACATAGGTGCTGACATACACACCGGGCACTACCGGTCCTTCTGGATTCATCCCAACGGAGGCGTCCTATATGTGGGTGATGACGCCACCCGCCCATACCCGGCCTCGGCCTCAGATCGCAAACATGTTATGGAAGACTGCTACCTCCTTTTCTTGAGAAGACAGGAGTGACTCTGACTCACCCTCAAGGGGTGAGTGCTGGCCCTCCCAGACTAGGATCGCGTGCACCAATAGGGTGCCTGTGCGTGGGAAGGCCGGACCCCACAATAGGTGGGCATGGCCCCCCCCACGTCAAGGCCAAGCATGCTTTAGGCATGCGCAGGCTTACCCGCAGCTTTTAAGGCTGACCCAGCATGGCTGATACGATTCACAGCCCAGACCACCAACATGGTCGCACCACCTCTCCCCTAGCTCCGGATTCACAAATGGGAGAGCCTTCCGAGCCTTTTGGGGTCGACACTCGACGCCAGACATCCGGCGGCGGCAAGCAGCGGTCAGGCAGAGCCCTGCATGCCCTCTCCAACGCTGAGCTGGCTCAGACTCTGGGGCCGGTGGCAGCCGCTCCTGGCATCAGCGAGTCCTGCCTGACACATATGGTGCCAATGGCAGAATGCGCAACTAGCAGCGGAGGCAATGCCTGTTTCTTCGTGTCTCCTCCAAGACGGACTGATAGCCCTTCTGCTTGATGCCGCCGCTGTCAGTCGGAAAAACATGCCCAAGCCCGCTGCCAGACACGTTACAGCTGCATTGCTGCCAGCATGCACCACGCGGATCATATCCCGACATTCAGGTACGTCACAACAAGCTGGAGCTCGATATTTTGCAGCCTGCAAAATAGCTTTGGTTGATCTCTGCCAGTTCGCTCAAAGCCTGTAGGCCGCAACAGCTCTCTCATCGGTCTTTCTGACCTGGGCTGATCAGCTATAGGGTCTGAGTCAGTTTCACACCAAAGTGAGTGCACCGCGGCAATCGCCCGCTATGTGCAGAGCCCGCTCGCACAGCGTTCAATTGGAAAAAAATAGTAGTAGTAGTAAAAGTAGTAGTAGTAGTAGTAGTAGTAGTAGTAGTAGTAGTAGTAGTAGTAGTAGTAGTAGTAGTAGTAGTAGTAGTAGTAGTAGTAGTAGTAGTAGTAGTAGTGGGAGTCGTAGAACAGCAGCAGCAGCTGCAGAAGTATTAGTAGTAGTATTAGTAGTGGTGGTAGTAGTAGCAGCAGCAGTAGTGGTAGTAGCGCTCGTGCTCAAAGCATCGGTTTGATTGGCGGATGATGCGCCGTGGACCGTAGGTTGGATCTCGCGATTGCACTGGGGACCTTCCCAGGCTCTCGGCAATCCGAAGTCTTTATGAATAGATCGCCGGCAGACGGTATGACGCACTTTTCATTCAGACCATTTCATGTGTTTGATGCACTGCTCTGTTTTCAGAAGGTGTTCTACATCTTCGGGGGCATGCTCTTCTTGTCTCAGACACTTGTGCCTCGGACCTAAAGTTGTAGTGGAGGATGTCAGCTCTTTAAGAAAAGTGGTTGTTGATGCCAAGGAGCGCCATGCCGATCGCCTGAGGATCCATCGGCGGCTGGCAGGGATAATGGAGGCGGAACAATGAGAAAAAGGCCGTGCAAGCAACATCAAGCAACTGTCTCTTACCTTCGGAAGGCGCGTGGTCAAGGCTTTCCTTACTTGAGTTTATATATTTATACATCAAATATTTAGGAATATGCCTTACGGCAAGAAGACCAACCGCGCGATTGACGCAGGATGGATTAATCGGAAGGTATCCATGAGAACTCCAGCGTGAAAGTTAGTTTGGAAGCATATTCTTCACTCAGTGGTTAACATGTTAGACATCAAGAAAAGCAAAATCAAACAGCATTGAGAATCATGTTTGTTTATGCAGAATACTGTTATTCTAGGTTTCATAACGAACGTTCACAGAAAAAAACGCTTTTTGACTGGAAAATGTGGGGCCCGTAATGTGTTACACTCTCCGGTTATATTTTTGTATATTTATACGTGTGCATGTTTCCATATTTCAATTTTATTTCTTTTCGTATTTGTATTTATGCAACGGACCACCCGTCCGGAGGCGTTGTTCGATTTGACCTGGTGTCGGCTTTTGTATTCGCCAGGGTTCGAAGCCCTTGCATGCTTACGCAGACAGAAGTCGCTTCGTGGCAGAAGTGTTCGCATTCCTATTTCAGCCACCCTGGCTCAGCTTCAAGTTGTGGATAGCTGCAAAGGGCCGTGTCCAGGCTCGCCCGATTCCTTGGTTGCTGTGGTTCTTGCAAGGGTAAGCAGCATGGAGCTTGCTTCCCTTGCGGAACAAGATTCCAAGGCAGAATGCTCACATCTGCTCGTCGGCTGGGTGTCCGCCGCGCGTTGGCCTTGCGTGCCGCTCAACATGGCCAGCCCATGAGGAGCTTAACCAGATTCAGCATGCCACGCGGTCACAAGGTGTCAGTTTAGCGTCGCAGCTGGCTATGGCGGTAGCATGTGGCTGTTTATCGTGGCATCGGGATGCCCGTGTCAGGAGGCAGTCGTTTGGCTATGGCGACCCTGCTCCCCCAAACATGCCTGGTATCGGAGGTTGCGTGTTTTCTGTGTAGGGATCATCTGACCAGGGTGCTCATCACGCTCATGGCTTCTAGCTTTCTGCTGGCATGTGTCTGGCAATTGTGCAGGTGAGCATCAGCTGTACCCTCCAGAGACAATGCAGACCACTGTGAAGTACTTCTCGGAAACTTGTCTGATCTCTTGCGCCCGAGTTTTTGATAGTTCATGCATTGCCAAGAGGCTCTTTGCTTTGTAACTGTGAGGACAACATGACCAATGTCCCGAAGTACAAGGAGATAGCAAGCGATTGCTATGGCAATGCCGCATCACGCTGGACCGCAAGTGCAGAGCATTCTTCTGCCATTTTCCTGCTGCAGGAAATCATTGAGGGAATTGGTTACCCTGGACAGAAGCACTCGGCCGGAGGCAGACTTAGCATGACACAGCACTCCCCCATCTTGTGTTGATTTTGCGGAGAAGGCCTATGCACTCTCGGCCGGATCTACTATGGGCCTGGCCGTTGCCGTCTCGGATTTGCTCAGATATGCCTTCATGGAAGCTTTTAGACCTGCCACGTGTCATCGGATGACGCTGATGTGGCTCAACAAATCCTGTACTTACGAAAGTTTGCAATGCCTCCTAGAGTGACGTGCATGCAAGGGAGGTTCAAAGATGTCCTCCACAGATTTGGCTTTCTTCTTTAATCCTGTATTCTCCAGTCTGCCACGATCCAAATGCAGCGCCCACTGCTGAAGCAGTCTTTCAGCAAAACTTTGGGTTTGCCAGCGAATTCCGTGCACAGAGGATGGGGATGCAAGCTGGGCTGTGGCTGCAGACAAGCGCAATGCAGCACTTCACTTTGTCACCCGTTGCGCAGGAGCTTTGCTGATGGCCTGCCTGCTGGGCGTGATACAGTTGCTTTATAGCACTCAGGTATGACACTCCTGCAGCCTGAAGAAGTTCAAGATGCTGAAATTGATGGGCTACGGCTGAACAACTGAATGGGACATGGAGAAGCGCCGTGAGCAGCCAAGGTATGGAATGGTCTATGTGTTCGCTGTGATTGCAGATGACATGGAGTCCTACTATGATCTCAAGGAGGGTGACGGAACTGAACTCTTTGCCCCTTGGCTGCAGACTGGTCTGATCCAAGCGAGATCATGATGAGGACTATGGTTTGGAAGCGTTAGATTGTTCTCAGTTCTTGATTGAGTCTTGGCTTTCCAGGACGAGATATTATCCACGGCTCATGCCAGTTCTGTAAAGTGTTTTTGATCTTTCTTGTGTGAAGCACTCCGTACTCCGGAGTCTCATCTCTTCAACTCTGTCCTGCCAGCCTGAGGCCCAGCACGATCGAAGTTAGGATCAGCTCGTGCGCGGCGGAATGCCCAGGATATGCTCAACTTCGGGGCCTGTGCATTGTCGTTTGTGCCGGGCTTGCTCTATGATTACTATGGGGCAGCCGTTGCAATGACCATTGGCACCTTCATCGGCTGCCTGGCGAAAATTTAAAAGGCCTTGTGTGCTTCAACCAACTTGACTTGAAGTTTCAAGATCTCCTCTTGTCGGTGTTAGGCGTCCTGCCAATCATCGGCCAATTAGACTGGTCGAAGATCTTCCCTTCCTTAGACACCTTGACAGGCCTGGTCTTTGGGGCCTGGGCCTGGCAAAACGGGCATTTTTCTCATGCTTCTGTTGTGCTTCTGGGCCAGGCCTGAAGGTGAGCTATGCCATTTTTGGCATGGCGGAGGTGGGCAGCCTTGATTTCGCATGCGATGTTGGTCTCAAATGACAACGCATGTCGGTGCAGAATTGCTGTGGAACGTCGACTAAACACCGCGACTCTACGAAGCAACAGCAATGCATGGGTAAAGCCGCCAAATTCTCCTTGCAAACCTGAGGCTTTTTTCAGCACCATCGCGACATTTGCGCCTTTGGAAGCGTTCCCCGTTCAGTACGTAGGGGCGGTCTCTGCAGCAGTTCAGGCATCTAGCCTCAAGTGTTTCAGAAGCTGCAGTTCTTTGTCATGCTTTAGTCGAACCCGGCTTTCGCTGTGGGTTGACCCATGGTCCCCTTACCCGTGGCCATGTTTTCCGATTCTGGCAGCACTGGCATGCTTTGGTCTTTGCTGGATTCGAACCTGCCAGACAAGATCTGGTGACGAAACATCTCGATAAGAGCCGATATGCTCTTGCCGATGATGAAACCGAAGGTATCCTGTGATTTGCACCGTGCGAAACTTATGCGATCTTGCGTTTCTAAACTTACGGGCTGTTAAACACAAACTTTTCGAGAACGTTTGCAACATGTAGGCCCATGCAGACCTTTGCAGAGCCCTTAAGATGCCATAAGTTTACCTTACTTCCTTCCGCTTGTTTTTTGGTTGGTTGCTCCCTTCGATCCCTTCCGTCCTCCGTCTCTCCCGCCCTCCCTCCCTCCATGAGTGCCTTCAGCTCCTGGTCTAGGAAGCCTTCGGCGTCAGCGTCGAGCAAAGCCAGGCAGCAAAAACAACACTACGGTTCAGGCCCTCTATTCATTGGGATTTGAGGGACTCGTGGCACTACAATCCAAACTGGGCAAGATCAACAACCAGCAATGCGTGGATCATCAGGCAAAACGGAAGATTCGACGAACAGCAACCCCCTGATTACGTTCGTTTTGCTGTCATGTTAAACTCAAGCCATCCGGTTGAGCGGATTGTGTTTGCCTTAAGCGAGTCTTGTTGGGCGGCTCAGCTTGGCTTGGGCCAGATTCGTGCGGCCTAGCTCCCAACCGGCTACAATGTAAACTTAGCCTAGCCTAACATGACCTACTGTAAGCCTCTGTAGCCTTACCAGACCTTGTCTAGCTTAGCAGTAACTTAATTCCACAAGTCTTGACTAGATTTGGCTAAGCTGGCCCAGGCGACAACATGCTAACCTGACAGCCCGACCTCAAGACGAAACAACCTGAGTCAATTGGAACTGCATACAACCAACTCGCCTTCGTTAATTTCAGCCAAGCGAGAATGTGATGTGTGCTTCATGCACGCTGTCTTGCTGGTTGATTCGCGCTTCCTCGTTTTCCGCTTTGCTCTGTTGTCTGTAGATGCATGCTGGACTGATTTTTGGAGCACACAATCGCATGCTGTTCCACAGAAGCTCAAGGGCGGTCGTGAGGGTGGCGTGGGGAGCTATATTTGTTCGTCGGACCCGAACTTTGCCTGGCAGCATCTGCCTGACAGCGATGTCCCCACTTCGTAGGGTTCATTGGGGAGGCTTTGGCTCAACTTGACGCTTTGGTGTATTCAGGTGAGGCAGACATTCCGGTGCCCTGAGGTCAGCACATCGCTGGGTGCCAGCATTCAGTCTGAAGTGTACGTGCTCCTGAAGGACGGCTCACTCTGAAGATGCACCTTTCGGAACGCTTTTTGCGACTCTGCTGATGATGCCGAGCCTTGCTAGGCCAACTTTACGAACTTCGTGCAAGTCTACTATACCTACATGCTTGTTTGCACCGTCGTATGTGGTGGTCTCATGGTATGCGCCTTCTGGGAGAACAGCAAGCTGCTGCACAGAAGCAAGTCGAATCTGGCAGACGACTTGGAACAATGCAGCTTACAGCCACATTGCTGAACACGCCAGACTTTATGCTTTTGCTGCTGCTGCCACCTGGAACGCAGTGTTGGTGTGTTAGACTTCGCCCGAGGTCTTCCTTGTTCAGCATGAACTTCGTGTACATGTGCTTACTCTTCTTCCTTGGAGTCGGGTTTGTGTTCAGCTACTTGGATGCTGCAGGCGGGATGTTGGAAAGAACCCCACCTTGTCTGTCGAATGTGCCGGGTAGTCTGCACATGCCGGGGCAGTCGGGCTCCCGCAGGCGACATCAATGCAGCTGCTGGTTTGCCTGCCTCGCGAGCGACGTTAACCTTTGGTATCTACGGTGCACTCGCACGAGTCGTGGCCAACTGCGCGTTGGACTACACTCGCAGCAAGCCCAATGGAGGTCCTCTGACATACATTGCTCTGTCGCTGCTCGCCCTTGCTGCAGGCTGGACTGTTGCACTTCTGTAGCTTGGATTTCCTCTTTGGAACAGTTCCCGGGCTCGTCCCAAGTCTTTCGGTTTTACCTCAGCGTGCTGCAGAAGGGCACGTGATGCGTACGAACCCTTAAACGTCAGTAGTAACGTCCAGCCTGTCATTTCTTGCATGGCTAGTCATGGTCATCGTTCAGGGAGCTGCAGCAGGCACAGGTGAAATTTGACGAAATGATAGCCCTGCTGTGCTGCACGACTGTTTGGCTGCGCCGGTTGACAGCCCAACCATGGCACTGCCACAGAATATCTTTTGGGTAACTTTTATCGCAGTCGGGAGTTGAACTGATGCTGAACAGTCGGCGAAATGATTCAAGGGCCGTCGCCAGACAATGGATGTCGTCAGAGGCAGTTTGTCCTTTTGGCTGCTTGCCTTTGAGGCTCGTGGGACTAAGTTGAGTACCCCAATCTGCTTGGCAGTGACGGAATACTTCAAGCACTGCTTCTGCTGTCGAAGGCTTAGCGGTGGCTGGGATGCCTTCTGATCCAGACACAATGTCTGTTCATGCCTGGAACCAAGCTTGAGGTACTAGTCTCTTTTGGTGATGTCTGCATAAAGCTGTGTCCGTGAGGATGGGTCAGTGCTGCTCACATGTCTAGGAAAGCCTCCACTTATCAAGTCAAGGATTCGGCCGATGGCCGGCAATGGAAGCACACAATGCACGGATTGCCGAGCATGTGGGAGCACAGTAAGCCAGTGTGATGATAATGCCTTTGCGTCATCCGTGTGTCGTGTTTCGCAAGATGTTTCCACAGATGTCTTCCGCCTCGCTCGTCGCCCGCGCGTGTCCAATCCTCGGGGCGGAGCAAACTGTGTACGAAGTCCCTTACATTCTAAACACAGGTCTGTCACAAGAAGATCCAGTCATCGGCGTGTCCGGTATTCGTAATGAAGTGAGAAATGAATCACGTGACGGCTGTGCTGATGCAGATCTGAGGTCATGAACCTTTTCTGCAGCTTGGGTGCTGGAGGCTTGCTTGGTGTTACACCACCGGCATTGAGGCACCTTGCCACGAAAATGTAGAGTATCATGAGTGCACAGAGTATCATGCCTGTCTACGACTTCCAGATTGCTGACAGGCTGCTATTTGGATCTGGATCTTTGGGTATCATCTACGGGCTCCTTGTTTGGCTGCATATCAGCTCTTCAAGCCGTAATGAGTAGACCCTGCAAGCAGTTACCTGGATCAGTGGCCAGTATACCGCTGTGTGACTTGGTTGTCTTCTGTGCGTGCTGTGAGGCTGCTCTACCTCCTCACTGCTTTCGGAATTCCTACTTGGGGCCTACTGCTTCCCAGCCGGGTGTGTACGACGGGATGCTTCAGAGCTTATTGCCGCACAGGCTGGGGGAGCATGGCTGATGCACGGTTAATCTTCCTTGCACAAAATTGCTGTTGGATGCGATTACTAATCTTATTCTTCGCTTGTGTTGTTTTGTCACACTTTGGTGACAATGCTGGACAGCACACCATGCACCGTGTATGGTGCGGCTG